GAAGGAGGGGAGGTAGAGGAGGGAGGTAGAGAAGGAGGAGGTAGAGAAGGAGGGAGGAGAGAAAGGGAGGTAGAGAAGGAGGGAGGTAGAGAAGGAGTGGGGGAAGAGTAGATAGAGAAGGAGGGACGTAGAGAAGGAGGAGGTAGAGAGGAGGAGGTAGAGAAGGAGGAGGAGAAGGAGGAGGTAGAGAAGGAGGAGGTAGAGGGGAGGTAGAGAAGGGAGGTAGAGAAGGAGAAGAGGTAGAGGAGGGGAGGTAGAGAAGGAGGAGGTAGAGAAGGAGGAAGGTAGAGAAGGAGGGAGGTAGAGAAGGAGGAGAGAAAAGAAGGGGGGTAGAGAAGGAGGGTGGGGAGAAGGAGGGAGGTAGAGAAGGAGGAGAGAGAGAAGGAGGAGAGTAGAGAAGGAGGGAGGTAGAGAAGGAGGGAGGTAGAGAAGGAGGTGGGGGTTAGAGAAGGAGGTGGGGGTTAGGAGGAGGAGGTAGAGAAGGAGGGAGAGAGAAGGAGGAGGTAGAGAAGGAGGGAGAGAGAGAAGGAGAGAAGGTAAGAAGGAGGGGAGGTAGAGAAGGAGGAGGTAGAAGGAGGAGGTGGGGGTTAGAGGAGGAGGAGAAAAGGAGAGAAGGAGGGGAGAAGGAGGTGGGGGTTAGAGAAACAGGGGGTAGAGAAGGAGGGGTAGAGGAGGAGGTAGAGAAGGAGGGAGAGTAGAGAAGGAGGGAGGTAGAAGGAGAGAGAGGAGGAGAGAAGGAGGAGGTAGAGAAGGGGAGGTAGGAGGTGGGGGTAGAGAAGAGGAGGTAGAAGGAGGGGGAGAAGGAGGAAGAGGGAGGTGGGGGTTAGAGAAGGAGGTAAGTAGAGAAGGAGGTAAGGAAGGAGGTGTAGAGGAGGGAGGTAGAGAAGAAGGGAGAGAGAGAAGGGGAGGGAGGTAGAGAAGAGGGAGAGAGAAGAGGAGGTAGAGAAGGAGGGGAGGTAGAGAAGGAGGAGGTAGAGAAGGAGGAAGGAGAAGGAGGGAGGTAGAGAAGGAGGAGGTAGAGAAGGAGGAAGGAGAGAAGGAGGGAGGTAGAGAGGAGGAGGTAGAGAAGGAGGTGGGGGTGGAGAAGGGAGGAGGTAGAGGAGGAGAGGTAGAGAAGGAGGAGGTAGAAAAGGAGGGAGTAGAGAAGGAGGGAGAGTAGAGAAGGAAGGGAGAGAAGGAGGGGGAGTAGAGAAGGAGGAAGTGAAGGAAATAATGGATGAAGGAGGAACACATTATGGAAGGGGGGAGATGCTATCGAGACATCTATTTATGTTGATTGAAGACGCCAGAGGGGACGTGGAGAGGGAGAGAGGGGAGAGGGAGGAGAGGTGAGGGGAGAGAGGAGAGAGGGGATGGAGGAGAGAGGTGAGAGAGGGGAGAGGTGGGAGAGGAGAGGAGAAGTGAGGTGAGAGGGAGAGGGAAGAGAAGAGGGAGGGAGAAGGAAAAGGTAAGAGGAGAAAGAGGGAAGGTAGAAGAGAGGGACGGAGAGACGGGGAGAAAGGGAGAAGAGAAGAGAGAAAAGGAGGAAAGATGAAAGGGAGAGGGAAAGAGAGAGAGGGAGAAGAGAGAGAGAGAGAGAGAGAGAGAGAGAGAGAGAGAGAGAGAGAGAGAGAGAGAGAGAGAGAGAGAGAGAGAGAGAGAGAGAGAGAGAGAGAGAGAGAGTTGCAGAGCCTTGAGGACGAAGGAGGGTGAGAGGTTGGAAGGAAGGGAGGAAGACCAGGAGGAGGAGAGGAAGAGGAAGACAAGAAGAGGAGGAGGAAGACCAAGAGGAGGAGGAGGAGACCAAGAGGAGAGGAGGAAGACCAAGAGAGGAGGAGGAGGAGGACCAAGAGGAGGAGGCAAACGGAAGGAAATACAGTATATTTTAAAAGAGTAGAGAAGAGAGGATAAAGAGAAGCAGAAGAGAGGGGTGAGGAGAAGAGGGAAAGGAAAAGAGGAGGGAAGAATGAGAAAGAAGATAGAGATAGGAGGACGAGAAAGGAATGAGAAAGAAAGGGAAGGGGGAAGGAAGGAGGAAAGAGAGATGGGGTGGATGGAGAGAGAGGAGAAAGAGAGAAGGAGAAGGAAAAGGGAGAAGAGGAGAGGGAAGAACTGACAATGGTGTGTGTGTGTGTGTGTGTGTGTGTGTGTGTGTGTGTGTGTGTGTGTGTGTGTTCGCCTAAATCTGTATCCGATTTCAGTGTTAAAATTGACATTGCAATATTAGAAGAAGCAGTACCTGACACCCACATTCAGATTTACAGCAAAATATATCTTACAGATTGTACCAGCCAACACTGGACAAAGAACATACCAACAGTTAGTGACTAGTGAAACTGATAACTGAAATGATAAATAATATGAAGCACCATATCAGAAGGTTAACTGAAACACACAAATACTATACATAATAAAATAAAATAAAACTACACACATAATAATACTATAATAATAATAACATCTAATAGTAATAACACAAATAATAGTAATAATAATGAAATTGAAGTTTATACATGAGTCACATAATATAGTAAGGGATAAATATAGATTTAACAGCCTCTGTATTTTATGCTCAAATTAAAGACGTCTACAAGAACAAAAATTAATAAAATAAAGATGGCTTATATCAATAGTTTACTATCTTTTAATAACAAAGCCAATATAATAAATCACTGGCAAACTAAAAAATTTTTATTTAGTTACGCCTCACATTTACCCATACCTATGTACTACTAACGTACTGCAAACAAAGGAAGGTGTGGTTGGAGGTCTGCTTGCTGTGGGAGGAGGAGAGGGAGGGAGGGAGAAGGAAAAGGGAGGAGAGGAGGGGAGGGGAGGGAGGAGGGAGAAAGGAGGTAAAGGGAAGGGAGAGATGGAGGGAGGGGAGAAGGGGAGGGGGAAGAAGGGAGGGGAGGGAGAGGTAAGGGGAGGGGAGAGATAGAGGGAGGGAGAAGGGAGGTAAAGGAAGGGAGATGGAGGGAATGAGAAAGGAGGTGGAGAGAGGAAGGTAAAATGAAGGAGAGAGGGGATAAAGGGAGGGAGAGGCAGTAACAGGTTAACTGAAGGATAAAGAGGATAGCAGTGGAGCGGCTATGGTCAAGGCTACCACTCACCATCATCTGAAAGACGCGCTGCCTCAGGCAAAAGAGTTGCTTGGTATAATATTTGCAGTACATAGTAAAGCATAGTGAGTTTTGTGACGAGGGTTGACTACAGAACCGGGGTCAGGCTATATTGAAGGGTAAGCTGTTGCGCAAGAGAAACTGCATTGTGGGAGAAAGCGGCATTCACCAACGCATTTTAAACAGGATACTGAAATGTTTATGGGGACAACGAGTGCTTCATGATGCCTGAGTTTACTGAATTGACCACATCACGATTTTTTTACAGTGCATATGCTCAACATTGATGCAGAGGATGACACAAGGAGGTTTTTATGCGACTTGACAGTGCAACTCTATTCCTCAGAGAATATAAGATTGTGCCCTGGCGACTCTAATGCCAGAGTGGCAGAAATGCTGACATTTGGCAGGAATCATAGGGAGAAATGGACAAGGGTGTAATCTCAATGTCTCTTAGCAAGTGTGCTGCACACAGCCTCACTTAATACCAATACTCTTTTGTTAGCAGGCCGACAGCCTGGGGACGTGGCAACACCCACGACCAAAAACACTGGCATTTTGCTGACTACACACAGCTGTGAAAGAGATTAATGATGTTTCATCACTAGTGCCAGCGTGGCCACACCACTGTGACACATCATCGGCTTGTCAGGCCTCAAACAAAGGCAACAAGTCTATTCGATGGATAACATTATATTTAATGTTACGTTAGGTTGTGCTATTTCAGCAGCCTCTCGTCATCTTGATTTCTCTTCATTTCCATGTACAGAGCAAATGTCACATGCTTATAATTTTAAACATCAAGGTGACCAGGGGTCTAGGTCGGGACTTTTTATCAGAAATTTAACACTTCTTAATGCAAAGTTTTACTCAAATGTGTACAGTAAAAAGTACACATGACTTCAGAATATTCTCAATATTAAGCACACATGGACGCAAAATGGCTTCAAAATGCCTCAAGGATATAGATATCAGGTAAAAAAACTCAGGAAGGCTTCACACCAAAAATACTGGTGGGTTGCTGTGTTCACTGCCTACCACTGGCTCACTCTGTTTATGGGTTTTGCATACAAAAATTTGTTGTTCATTCTACTACGGTTCTGAAGCAAGCCAACAATTAGCACGGTTTAGACGTTTGGGGGATGACGAACTCTTTTATGGCTTCACCGCCTCACTACTCTTCCCCTACCTTAACGCCCCTGTTTTATTTGTTTTTCCGGCACTCACCACCCATAGGTAGCCATGACGTATTTTATACTGCTCTGCGGTTCACCACATTTTTCCGAAGGTCGAGAGTACTTCGGTATAGACCGTGACACCAGTGTTCCCAAAGTTTTATCCCTGGCTACGTGTTAGGTTTCGTATTTTCATAAGCTGCGCTCAAAATAAATAGAAAGCTCAACACCATGGTTTTGGTTGTCGCCCTCTTGATGGGGACTGTGACACCACGCGGTCAGCCGGAGCGCAGGCGCCTGGTGCCCGATGAGGTTTACTTGATGGGCACTTTGGCGTTTCGTTGGTTCTTTAAAATATTGTTAGACTCTTTGGGCACTGCCCTGTTCTTGCCTGGGGCAGGTGTCCGGGTGGTCGTTGCAACGGGACTCAGTATCTTCTGGGCACTGCCCTGTTCCGGCCTTGTTGGGGCAGGTGTTCGGGTGGTCGTTGCGTCGGGACCAGGCCTTCCGGCACTGCCTCTGTTCTGGCCTTGTTGGGGCAGGTGTCGGTGGTCGTTGTAACGGGACCAGTAATCTTCTGGCACCGCCCTTGTTCTGGCCTTGTTGAGGGAGGTGCTCGGTGGTCGTTGTAACGACCACCTGGGCACTGCTCTTGCCCTGGCCTTTGTTGGGGCAGGTGTTCGGGCGTTGCAACGGGCTAGTATTTCGGCACGTTTTGCCCTGTTCAGCAGGCGCCCGTGGTCGTTGTAACGGGACCAGTAACGGCACCGCCCCGGCCTGTTGGGGCAGGTGCCCGTGGTCGTTGTAACGTGACCAGTACTCTGGGCACCGCCCTGCCCTTGTCTTGTTGGGCAGGTGTCCGGTGGTCGTTGTAACGACCAGACCTTCCGGCCACGCCCCTGCTCGTTCTGTTGGGGCAGGTGTCGGGTGGTCGTTGCACGGGATCAGTACCGCACTGCCCGGTTCTGGCTGGGGCAGGTGTCCGGGTGGTCGTTGTAACGGGACTAGTATCTTCCGGCACGCCCTCGTTTCGCTCTGTTGGGGCAGGTGTTCGGGGGTGGTCGTTGCAACGTATCGGGCACGCCTTTGTTTCTTTGTTGGGGCAGGTGCTCGGTGGTCGTTGTAACGGGACCAGTACCGGGCACTGCCTTGCCCGTTTCCTGTTTCCTGTTGGGGCAGGTGTTCGGGTGGTCGTTGTAACGGGACCAGTACCGGCACTGCCCTGCCCTTTTGCTCTTGTTGGGCAGGTGTTCGGGTGGCCGTTGAACGGACCAGTAATCTTCTGGGCACTGCCCTGTTCTTGTCTTGCTGCTGGGGCAGGTGTCCGGGGTGGTCGGCTGCAACGACCGAACCTTCCGGGCACGCCCTGCCTGTTCTGGGCAGGTGTACGGGGTGGTCGCTGTAACGGGGACCAGTATCTTCCGGCCACCGTTTCGTTTCGTTCTTGTTGGGGCAGGTGTCCGGGGTGGTCAGCAACGGCCTGGTACTCGGCCAATGCCCGGTCTTGTTGGGGCAGGCGTCTGGCCGGTGTTGCCGCCTCGGCACGTGTCAACGGCTTGGTGGTGAAGTAGCCCATTAACAGGGTGATGAAGCGTACCACCTTGCGGGTTAATATCATAAGCGACCACAGATGCACAATATATCAATAATGTTCAAAACCTGATGTCATTTTGAAGAATTACTTAAATTATATAGTAAAACATTTTAATTTGACAATTATTACTCAAGAGAACTGGAGATGGAGAAAGGAAATAGCGATCTCACCAAGGTGTGGGTAGGCAGGTGTGTAGGCACGTGTAGACAGGCACGTGTAGGTAGGTAGGTGTAGGCAGGTAGGAGGTGTGTGTAGGTAGGTGTAGGTAGACAAGCAGGTGTAGGTAGGTGTAGGCAGGTAGACAGGCAGGAGTGCAGGATGTGCAGGTAGACAGGTAGGTGCAGGAGGTGCAGGTAGGCAGGTAGCCAGGCAGGTGTGGTACGTGCAGGCATGTAGATACGCAGGTGCAGGCAGGTGTAGAATGTGCAGATGTAGGCAGCAGGTAGGCAGGCAGGCGTGAGGCACATGTAAGAATAAGCAAGGCAGGCAGGTGCAGACGTGAGGCACAGATTTAGGCGCAGGCAGCAGGTGCAGGCACGCAGACAGAGGCAGGTGCAAGAGGCAGGCAGGCAAGAGGCAAGTGCAGGCAGGTAGGTCAAGTGAGCACGCAGACACGCAGGTAGGCAGGCACGCAGAGGCAGGTGAGGTGCAGGTAGGCGTGCAGGCGTGCAGGCAGGCAGGCAGGCAGGCAAAGGCAGCAGGTGCAGGTAGTGCAGGCAGGTGCAGGCAGGTGCAGGCAGGTTAAGCAGGTGCAGGCAGGTGCAGGCAGGCGTGCAGGCAGGCAGGCAGGTGCAGGCAGGTGCAGGCAGGCAGGCAGGTGAGCAAGCAAGCAGCAGTAGGCAGGCAGGCAGGTGCAAAGAGTAAATATATATAGGCAGAGAAGAGGTTACATATAGAGAAGAGTATACATAAGAAAGAGTGATATGAGCAGGCAAGAGAAGAGTACATAAGGCAAGAGAAGAGTAAGAGATGTGAGATAACGCAGATTTAAGGCGTAGTAAGAAAGAGGCAAGGTAAGAGAGATAAGTAGCAGAGGTAGGCAGGCGTAGGTAGGCGTAGAAAGAGGCTAAAGGTAGGCAGCAGAGGGTGCAGGCAGGTGAGGTAGGTGTAGTAAGAGAGGCACGTGCAGGTGTAGTGCAGGCGCAGGCAGGCAGGTTAGGCAGGTCAAGAGGCAGGTAGGCAGGCAGGCAGGCAGGCAGGCGTGCAGGCAGGCAGGTGCAGGCAGGCAGGTGCAGGCAGGTGCAGGCGCAGGCAGGCAGGCAGGTGCAGGCAGGCAGGCGCAGGCAGGCAGTGCAGGCAGGCAGGCAGGCGTAGGCAGGCAGGCGCAGACAGAGGCAGTCAGGCACAGAGTAATATAATATGATAAGGCAGAGTCCAAATATAAGAAAAGTGTTATAAAACAGACACAGTAAGAGGCGTTATATGCAGGCAGGCGTAGGCAGACAGGCATAAATATATATATATATATATACAACGCATATTAACAAGGTGCAGTGAAGATTAAAGTATACACGCATAAGCATACAGTCATAAGTGAACAAGCAGGCGCAGGCAGGCACGTACACAACACACAACACACACACACACACACACAACAACAACACAAAAAAATAATATAATATATACATATTTATATATAATAACAGGCATAAGAAGCCTATACATAAGCACGTGTATATAAAAGAAGTATAGAGTAAGAGAAGAGCAAGCTGCACAAATATAATAAAGGTAAGAGTAAAGGCATGAATATATATATAGCCCAGGTAAGAGTAAGTGTAGCAGGCGTAAAGAGAGATGCAGGCGCAGCAAGCAAGCATCACATGCAGGCATATATATACAGAAAGGCAAGAATAGGTAAAGAATGAGCACGCAAGCAGGCATAAGTATGCAGGCAGGAGCACGCAGGCGCAGGCAGGCAGGCGCAGGCACGCAGATAGCAGGCGCAGGCAGCAGATTGCGATTGCGATAAGAGGCAGGCAGGCAGTAAGAGGCAGGCAGGCGGCATGAGTGGGCGTATAAGAGTAAGAAAGAGTAAGTAGTTATAAGGCAAGAGCAAGAGGCAGGCAGGAAAGAGTAAGAGGCGCGCATTGTAGAGTAGGTGTAGTTAATAATAATAATAATAATAATAATAACCAATGGTTTAATTGAAAAGAGCTTAGCAGCCAGAAGGCTGAAAATATACAGTTACATATTTGGGGGAATGGGTTACGAATTACAATAATATGACATGACATAAGTGACACAAATACACATATAACTTAGATGTGGATCAGCTCAAAATACAGTCTATTTCAACATAGTGACAGTGTAGGAGCAGGTTTACTGGAGTGAACACACTGATTATTAACATGTTATTGATACTTACAATGGTTGGGACTGGGCTGTTTTATAGCGACTGCTCTGCAATGCAGGATGGATGCGGTTGTGGTGTCGAACAGCACTATTATAGGGATTCAGGTGGTAGAAGGAAGCCGGGATGGTGTAGAAGCTTACCAACTGCAGATGAGGTCGGGTGATGGTCAGTGAGAGTCGAAAGGGTCAGTGTGTTGAGCGCTTGATATGTGAGTAGGAAGGAGAGAACACTTGCATGCCCCCTTGATTTCAGGTGTTCACGTTGTGCGGCATTAAGGAGGAAGACCAGGGGGAGGCACAGGTGAGCTTGGGAAGCATGAATGTTGTGTAAATACTGAGGAGCCGGGTGCAGGAACCGAGACTTGAGTCGGCGAGAGAGAGGGAGATGAAACTGGAGGACGACGGTTTACCTGAAGTTGTTTATGGTGACGCCGAGGAGCTGTGAACCTACAACCTGGAGTGTTCGACCTAGGGCGGAAGGAGGTGGGACAATGTCGGAGGAGAGGTTGATGCATAACCATTGCCTTGGTATGGTTGATGGAGACATGTATGCTGGCCTGCTTGGAGACTGTTCACAACTGAAGGGCGGTTGGGGAGCAATTGTTGACGCGATTCAATGGTGGAGTCGATGATATTTCAGCGAGCAGGGGCTTTCAGGGCACCACTGATGAGCATAAGGAAGCAGAGTGGCTCTACCTTTGCGTTTTGGGGACGCTACAGGTGAGTGACTGAAAGGTGGAGACAGCTCGGAAGCGCAATACAGCTTAAGCGTCGGTCACTGAGGTAGCCTGTAAGCTATGGTATGAGATTTCCGGAAGCCCGAGGTCAAGAAGATTATGACAATAGGTTGACAAATCGAATGCTTTAGTGAACAATGAAGGCGACAGCTACAGACGTTAAGGAGATGCAGGTATGTGTACTGAGAAAGCGACAAGACAGTGAGTGGTGGGGGAAGCTATGTTACTGCTAAAGGAGGGTTTGATGATTCCGCAATATCAGATATAAGCCTAAACACAAAATTTCACAGACAAGCAAAGGTGTGATTGCAATAGGTCAGAAGCTGACGGCGATTGTGGGCTGGTTGACGGGCACTGGTGAATACATAAGAGGTTTCCAGCCAGCTGGCATCTGGCTTGACTGAGAGAAGCATTGATGATGGAGCAGAGGGGTTTAGCAAACCGGAGAAATTTTGAATAGTTTCCATTGGTAAGTCAATGGGGTGAGAGCGTTTTAATTTTAGTTTGTCCAGGCATGCCACGTCGGGCCTCTACTAAGCTCAGGGAAGGGGGTAGTAGGGTAAGCAGGGAGAGTGGTCGTGCTGCCGTGGGAGTGCTGAGCATAGTAGCGAAATGGTTATTTGTTTGCTCAGCTGCGTCAACATTAGTGTGAGGTGGCTGGCGAAGGGAGGGGTGTGTCATATTGAGCCACAGAGTTTTTAGCATACTACGTCATTGGACTGATGTTGGTCTGTGTGTTGTAATTTGATGGGTAGTGGGACTTTTGCAAAAGCTGCGGATGACCCTGATATGAAGTGACCAGTGATGTGGTCGGCTGAGATGAAATGCCTGTCTCTGTTGCATAAGTCTTTTGATCTGAGGTGCGATCTGCGCGGCAGGCTGTGAGATCTGACGCGGACTTCGGGGAAGAAGTGGTGGTGAGCTCGGTGGTGGTAAGCAGATAATTTATCTATTTGGTTTCACGTCATTCACGCGAGTACTTTAAGCTCAGGATAGTGAATTACCTGCCGTTCAAAGAGCACTGCAGAGTCAGTAACGGCCTGTAGGTTTTGATGTAGGGTTTCTGTACTTGGAGTGGGAGTGGCAGCAGGGACCAGAGCACTGAGTGTGTGCAACAACCAGACAGGAGAGCAGTGGTTGAGGAGGTTGGTACTGGCCTGCCAAGTCACAAGATAAGGTTGGGTAAGCGACTGTGGGGAAGGTCACAACCTCAGAGGAGGAAGGGTTCTGGATATCAGTGGTGATCACTTTGCTAAATTTCACATAATACTGGCCATGAAAGGAACCTACCTCTGAGGGGTTTTGAGGTGGTAATGAGATGATTGATAAGAGTGTTCTGGTGGGTGATCGAGGCGTGATGGCATACCATCACCAAGATTATAATGGAAGACAGGTTATGTGGTGTGCTCGCAGCACGACACGCACCATACGCTTCTGATATCTGCTGACTTGAAAATTCAGGCGTGACGCGTGTAGGCTTGGCCTTGACAGAAGAGTGGCACGCCCTTCCGCGTTTTTGTGACGAAGGTGATGAAAGAGCTGATATTCTCAATGTGACACGTTTGCGGGTACAATGCTGCCACATATGGCAACCACGTCAAGGCGGTTGACGATTAGAAGAAGTAGCCGTTGAATGAAAGAAGAAGTGATGTTGAAAGCAGTAAGATGGAGATCATACCATGCCTGTGAAATTTCAGTGTGGCGGGCGGTTCGTCAGGGGTGGGAAGCTTTTCAGTGGAGTGTTACGGTTCTTAATGGGCTTATGTATGACGTTTTGTTTCACGTTAGCTGGGAATATTTTAGTGACGGAGTAACGCGACAACACTCTATCAGACAACAGCCCATCGCTTAGATGACACAGAGTGCGACGGGAGTAAGTGACAGGTACACGGTTGAAATCTGTTGAGGAAGTGACGGAGTTCGTCACTGGCAGGC